GGGAACCAACAAGGAACATCAGCAAAGAACTGCTGGAGGAATATCGACGCCGCCATCCGCCAGCCATTGATCCCAAGATGCAGGGGAGTAGGCCAGTGGATCGGAGGAAGCGAGGGTCCCGGTCACAGACGAGGAGGCAGCGCTAACTGCCTGTTCCTCGACCTCAACAGCGTCACGCTTCTCAGCAGCCACACGTTCGGCCTCCTCTGCCGCATCAAGCTCGTCGAGGGTTTTCAAACCTCGTCGGAGCATATCTTTACCACGGGTTCGGATGAGGCGTTTCTGCTTCCGCAGACGAAGTAACTTCGAAAGGGTTTCTTCCTCTTCGCGATCCAGGCGATCCTCCTCCCGTTCGAGCTTCACCCAGTCGGGATGCTCAGGACCCATACAGTCACATTTTTCTTTCAAGTTGCGACGAACGCACTCAGCGCACCGCCGTGAATCATTTGGAGACGACACGCAAGTAACGTTTCGCCTCACGCAGTTCGAGCAAGAATCCATTTCGGGTAGTTCGTATCCGTGGTTCTTTATTCGACGGACAAGATCGTTGCGTTCCTGGAGTTTGCGGGCAGTGTCAGTAGGCATGTTGCATGTTGAAGGACTCGCTGAGGAGCAGCAGAGTCCCGGGGACATGGACGTACTTATAGGATTCGAGACGAATGCCCAGGGGAAGGGAGCGAGTGTTACGACGGAACAAGAAGGCTGGCCAACTACAGGACAGGAAGGAGGGAGGTCGCATGAGACCGGCCCTGGTACCTGGAGGGGCAGCGGGGAATAGTAGTTCCGAAAGTATCACGTGACGGACTCGCAGGATGATGAGAAGAGTCCTAAGAGTCCAGGACTCCGAGGACTCGAGTGAGTTCCCAGGAGTCCACTAGGCACGTGATGGACTCGCAGGATGATGAGAAGAGTCCTAAGAGTCCAGGACTCCGAGGACTCGAGTGAGTTCCCAAGAGTCCACTAGGCACGACGCCACTATATAAGTAGATAGTATTTCCTTAGATAGGAGCTTCGTGCTCAACTCAATACAGTATTTGTTATATACTAGTAACGTGTTACTTGAAGCCTTTGTGTCTGATCCCCTGCCTCCTCTGATAAGTAAACCTTTACGCAAGAGAACCTCTGTGTCTTCTATCATTTAGAAGTCAGCGTTACATGTTGGCATACAGAAGTAAGAGCATAAGGTCGGAACGCAGAAGGTCAGAAACGAAGCTGGCAAGTCTTAATACAAGTAATAACAGCGCTTGATGAATATATTGATGTTGAAGGAGATAAAAGTATGCTGAGAGAAGAAATCACAGGCGGTTTTGCGTTCTTATATACAATACGCCCTGTACTTCAGCCTGACTAGCGAACAAAGCTGCTCGGTATGAGTTGTTATTTAAAGACTCATACCGGATTCAGATACTAAAATCACAGTTGGTTTGGGCCATGGACTATGTGGCCGGCATGAGACGCAAATCGCTCTTGACAAGATACGACGTGTGTCTGGAGATTTAGCAAGCAGTGATTCATTGGTCCAAGTACTGCCTCGTGAACCCTAGCCTGTGGATATTGAGACAGATGCAGGTGTCAAGTTCTTAGGTCTCCCCCAGATAGGATGATTGGGCCATGAAGTACAGAGAAAACAACTTTTCAATGTGTTGCGTTTCATCAAAGAGGTGTGACCATAACTGCTGAGGATCACCTATAGGACTCATAGTACTTACCAAGAACCAGAATGGAAGCGCTGGCTTGTTGAGCCCCGAGGTCCAGCAACAGATATCCTCAAATATTGGGCGGCAAAGCAATATCAATATCCAATTATAGCTGCAATTGCTCGAGCCATTTGGCAATTCCTGCAACATCAGCTCCATCAGAACAGGTCTTTAGTAATGGAGCTGATATTCTTACGAAGAAAAGGAACAGGGTCTCTCCTGAAACGCTTCGATATTTGGTCTGTTTACAAGATTGGGGTCATATACTAGAGGTTGAAGAAAGTGAAGCCAAAGACGCTGATGACAAGGGGGAAGAGTAGTTATATAAGTTATTTTATCTATTCTATTTTTATATTTTAAGCCTCATTATCCTGAAGATCTGGATATAAATGCTGAAGAGTTAGAATAGTTTAATTAATTAATTGTTGAGATATTTTATGATTTTGTACGATGCCAAGGAATATTCGGTGGTGAGCTTGTGTAGGCGACTCGCTTGTGAACTACGTTATTATTGTGAGTCATCTCAACCGCAAGCATGGGAAAAAAGACCCAAAGGCACTACTAATGGGGCTGTTAGGCCTGTTAGGCAGCACATTAAGCTGGCTTGCGCGATCACTCTTAAATTCACACAAGAGACGCAAAGTTATTAATGGAGGTGACTCATTTGATCCAAGGGTCTTTGAGGAGCTTTTAATTAAGTGGATTGCTGTCAATTCTATTAGTTTCAAGAGTTGTGAATCGATGTAGTTTAAGGCTCTTTTGGTATATCTAAATGAGAATGCTAGCAATGTTCTACCTACTTGAAATACACTTAGAACATTGTCAATTCAGCAATATCATACCTAGCATAAGACTCTATTACTTGAGCTCTGACTAGTCACCTAGAACATTCATCTTTCTATTGATCTTTGGAGCAGTGGTGGTGTTGTATACATCAGTGTTATTACACACTATTTCGATCATCACAGAAAACCCAAGGCGCCTGTTTTGATCTTCTATGAGATGAAAGGGCCTCATACTAGTGAGAACTAAGTAGGGTATGTGATGAAAGCTATTGTTGATTTTGGTATCACTTCAAAGCTTAGTTACTTCATACTTGATAATGCCTTAAATAATGACTCTTTTATGAGCCATTTACAAAAAGGTACGTTGATTTAGGGTTATTTTTATCAATCTTCTCTAGTCTAATCTGTTTTATAGATCTTCTAAGAAGCCACCAAATTGAATAGATAGGAAACACCATAGACTTCATTACATGGGCCATATTATCAATCTTACTGTACAAGCCTTCCTATTTGATGACAACAAATACAATATCTCACTTGATGTGACAGTATTAGAATTGGATAAATGGCATTCAAAAGGCGCCCTTAGAAAGCTACATAATATTATTGTCTTCATACAGCGCTCCCTACAATGCATCGCCATTTTCATTAAGCTTGGTGGAGGCAAAAGGCTTAAGAGGGACAACTCAACTTGGTAGAATTCATAGGCTCACATGATCAGCTATGCTCTACGGCCTACAATTTGTCCTGCAATTCGAATCTTTTGCTAGGACTTTCATGATGACCTTTAGCAGGATACCTTAGACATAGAGGACTAGGCTCATAGTAACATAGTTCATAAGATTCTGAACATATTAGAGTAGACTACACTTGACGTAGAAGGCTCATTTGGTACACTTGGCAAATTCATCACAACAATGGACTTCCTGTTAAGATTTTTTGAGAACATTCAGCAGTCTTAGATTAGGGAGTACTCAGAGCCTATCAAAGGCATGTGTAACAGCGCATGGAACAAGCTCACAAAATACTACAATCTGACAGGAATAAGTGTAGCATATGTTGTAGCAGTTGTCTTAGATCCCTATGTGAAGTGGGCATACTTCATACAGCAGTGGCCTAATTAGATTGATGAAACCCAAGCAGATACGTTGAAACATTGGAATATATTTTACGAAGGCTCACATACTAGCATTGATCATCAAGAAACTTCAAGAGGAAGTCATGTCAATGGCCAATCAGAAGTCTCAAAGTTCTGAGTGCAGAATAATCCACAAGATGATGAAGTGGCTGACTAGTATCAACTCTATTGTATCACATCACGCTTGCCTCAAAAAAGTAAGCAACGGCCAATCAATTGGTTGAAGGAAGAGTCTTATCAGGAAGCGCAACCTGACCTCTCATGCTAGGCAATTGATATACTATCAATACCAGCTATGAGTGATGAGCCTAAGAGGCTCTTTTCAAGAGCTGGTAACATACTATATGAGGGCAGGGCACAGTTATTACCAGAGACAGTACAAGCGCTTGAATGTATCAAGTCTTAGATGCTTCAAAAGATTGGTAATGAAGGCATAACAGAGCACAGACAGCTAGACGAGGACGTTATGTAATTGTATTTAAACAGCTCCATGCTTGCTTGCATTTTAAGCCTCATTCTAAGCCTCAACCCCCTCCCTGCTAAGCTGTAGACCAATAGTCTAAACAGTCTAAAACTAATAGTCTAGTTTGAAATATCAGCCAGACTACTAGACTATTGACATGACTGTTTTCAGGTGTAGGAATTACAGTTACGGAGAGAAGAAATAGGCTAGCCGCAGAGACCATTAAGGCATTAGAATGTCTAAAGAGCTGGCTGGAAGCCATTGCACTACTAGGCTTGAAGATTCCTAGATGACAGCAAAGTAGTTTTAAATGAACTGGCGTTCGTTCAGTTCAGTTCAGTTCACGAATTCCCATATTGCGGGGCGTTCAGTTCAGCCTCAAATTTGGACTGAACTGAACTGTTTGCACTACTAGCAACTCTGTCGCACAGGTCATACGGCCATTGAAACCGTATGCTTTTATCGAAGATGGAAACGAACTTCACAACATCTGCACTTTTCATGCTTTTGTACGGAGACAGTATAAAGATGTCTCGTAGGTCTAGCCTAGATGTTATTAATATATAAATTAGATTATATAACAGTCTAGGGAGGAGGTCGTACCATACAAAATAATCAACCATGGTCGGATGCTGGATTAGGTTTTGAGTTGGCCTAAGGGAACGTTAGCTAACAAAAACATGATTTACGATCAGTCTGTGCAAACCTCGCATGCATAAACGTTGGAAGTCGTTCAAGATTTTTGCTCGTGGGATCAACTACATGCTTCAGCCCGTATTGTTAGCAAGCCTGAGTTTAGTAAAGGGGGAATACATACTCGTAGTTTTAGTCTCATAACTTGGAGAATAGCCAGCCTCTCGATAAGACCACAAGAGATGAAAGCTTGCTGGTCTACCTTGCTAATCGACTCCCAGCCGTCATCCAAAGAGTGCTGGAAATGGCCTTGGTACCGTGTGGAGAGTTTGAATAGGACTTTGTGCCTGTATCGGCGAATTCGGGTTTGGCAGCAACGGATCCATGGAGAATAGCACAGGATTGATAGGCACCTGGTGTATTCCCTCCATTTCACTCAAGCCAATCTGATGCCACCAAGATTCAGGTTGGCCCTCATGTACCGGAAAAGAAGGACGCATATCTGCTGCGGCGGTTCCGGTGTGAAGTGGTTGCTGGTGGAGACCCGGTTCCATGGATGTCTTGAAGGCGACACCTGGCGAACTGCTCGAGCGTGCCCGTGTCCGTGTCTCATCGGGGTGCTCGATGCTTTTGCATAACCTGCCGATATTGGAAATCACCGACATTAGTTGCTCATTTGTCCATGGAGCTCTTGACATTGCTCAGTCTGTCATTATCCTCCGACTTCTGCAAAGACTCGACTGGCTTCTCTAAGTGGCGTATATGGTTATTCGTTCTCTCACGGCCTGCTCTCTGTGATGCCCGGTCTGCCATCCTCCTCTTATGGGCCGCTGACAAGTTCTGTCGCGAGGACCCGGCCCCTTCGGCCTTGCCACGTGACGACCGCGACGCCCTCTCCGACATAGTTGAGGCCTCCTGGGACAGAGGTACCCTTTGTGAATAAATGGTAATAACAGCAGTAGCGGTGATAGTTGGTAAGGTAGAGTTGATAGGGTTCGAGTGCAGATGGGACGTTAGCGATGATGAAGATAGGCGTAAGCTACTGGGATTCACGTTTTACCAGAAACTGCAGATCATACCTATGATCTCATTTCGTTGATGCTAACCACTAACACTAATATAATACAGAGATCTTACTAATATGATACAGGGTTCTGATGTCCTTGCACCGATGTCGGGGGTACGGTTTTAGTGATCGCCGGTGAAGCCGGCGGTCCTAGTGCCAAGCCCCTAGGGCTGTTTTCAACACATAGGTACGTATGGAGCTGGGGTTGTGAGGATGGTTGAGATGAAGTGTGGGGGAAGTGTGGGGAAGTGCGGGGAAGGGTGGGGGAAGTGTGGGGGAAGTGTGGGGGAAGTGTGGGGGAAGTGTGGGGGAAGTGTGAGGGACAAGACACAGTGATCCACCCGAACTAAGCTGTCCCGCTGCTCGGTTATCAACGACGATTCTAGAACCAGATATTAACCATCCACATGTTTGGGCCAAAACCTGCTCCGTATGATCATAATATCCATTCTTTGACAGTCAATTTATAGTAATCGATAAGTGAAATACTCTAGAGTGCTTCCATAGCTATGACCAAAATCCACTCTCAAATTCGCCCTCACGCCGCTATCAGCCCCCTACCCATCACCCCGCGCACCCACTCGCAGGCGGCAACTGCCACGTCGTCAATGACTCCTTATACACCTTTCTACTCTACGTCTCACCCCCCTTGAACGTCACAGTAAGGAAAACCTCATTTCCAAAAGTATTCTGCACAACCACCGTTCTCGATCCATCCGCTTCCACAAACGACATCGCCTCAAACTTCTGTCCGCCGCCGTAGTCCTTACTTCCCGTCGTCGACAGCGCCGTCGCGCCGCGGGGCACGAACCGCGAGAACTGCCCCATGAGGTAGTAGTCTAGCGTCTTGGAATACGTGCCTGCGCCGGTATCGACGACGACAAGTCCGCGGCAGGTACCGCAGCCGCCGGGGAGGTGAGGGCCGTTGTTGGTGTCACTGCCGAGGGTCCATGCGATGGAGCGGAGGCCCAGTTTTGCATCGGTCTGGAATGTTAGAGTTAGAGATGTAATAAGGGGAGGAGACGGTTGGCTTACCCCATGACGAAGTCGATGGTGCTGTACCAGTTGTTTGTAGGCGATGTCCAGCATTCGGTCTGATACTGGGCTACGTTGGGATTCTTCTCGTGGAACTGAGTCAGAACCGCCCAGTCATTGTTTTTGGCATAGCAATGTCAGGCAACCGTGTTGACGAAGGAGCCCGCACCGTCGAGAACGGCTTGTGGGTACGCTGGCACATCTTCGATAATTAGTTATATGGCTGGCTCTGTTAGGTAGGGTCGAATTTACCAGTTTTGTGATCATAAGCCCAGATCTCCGTCGTAAGCCCCGCAGATTTTAACGCCGGCCCAATGTTATGCTGAATATGCGCGCCGATTCATCGACCGTGACGTACATGGTAGGGTACCCAGCCTGGCTATTCAGCGGCTCGTTCTGAATCGTAATCGCATCGACATCCACGCCGCCAGCCTTGAAGGCTGGGTATACTTAACAAAATACTGCGCAAACTGACTAGCATACTTGTTGATGTTGTTGTCCGTGGTCGTTCCATCCATGTCACCACCGTTCAGCTTCATCCAACCTGGCGGGCTCCACACGGACCCAACGACTTTGATGGCCGAGTTTATGGCTTTAAACTGGGAAGGCCAGGAGACCATCCATGTCTTTACCTTCAGTCTTGAGATCGAAGTTAGCGAGGTCGGGATCTATCTCATCAGAGTAAGCACAGACGTTCCCCGATAAGCCAGATGCAGTGATGGTGTAACGGGTGCCAACCGTTACTCACACTAGAGGGTTTTAGCCAGGTAGTAGGTCGGGCTGAATGCAAGGGTAATGGCGGGTTGATAACCTGCTTCTCCTTCATTGTGAGAAGCATTGCTGCCCGAGCGAGGAAAGAAGCCTCACCCCTCGCCCCTATAGTACCCCAGTGCTCCTTCCGCTCCCGGATAACTGTTGCTTCGGCATCGACAGCTATCCAGTTGTCCTCATATAGTTGCCGTTCCGTTCGGCCGTCTTGCTCGCCAGTTCCAAGATCTTGGAGATATTCCCGCCAAGCGGCAATATTCCTCCGTAAAACCCGGCAATGAGTATTGTGCTCTTTGCCAGTCTCATGTTGCCAATCGGCAGTAACATTAATAAAGAACGTTGCTGCCTCTGCTGTTCGATATGTGTCTGCTATCCGGAGGCAGATTTTCAACAGTATAATATACTCGTTAGGGCTTAAAGCCCGAGTCTTTCCTCCCTTGTAGTATATCCTCCTCTTCTTGACTCCTTTTCCGCTTCTTCAGTCTTCCTTGTATATTCGACGGTGTAAATGGTGCTTGTAGAGGTGGCGGCTCGGTATCATCGTTGTCGTTGGTATCGTTGTCATTGGTATCGTCGTCGTTGGTATCATCTTCGCCAGAGGAAAAGCCACTGGCTATAGTAGATGTCTGAATAGGGGCTTCTTTGCCCTATTTAGAGTTGAATCTGGTCGCCAGATAGACTGGAACCTGGCTGGAATACCAGTAATTCGTTAGTTTCGGAGGCATCGTATGAGTATATCGTTATAAATAATTACTTCGGTCACTGGCGCCAGCATGGTACACTCGATTGACGTTGAATTAATTATATTACTAATCTATACACTAACTATATACAGGAGGAGCATCAGATCGGACGATTCTTCGTCGTTCAGAACAGGGGTTGGTATGGGGGCGGCAGGGCTAAATCACCGGCGGCTTGGCACCTTCCTTTTCAGGCATTGGTCAAGCTGACGGTCAGGTTGCTAAAACCCTCTAGTAGAGGGTTTTAGCAACCAGATCGGAAGCCACCAGCCATAAGTTCCGAATCAGTAAGCAAGATTTTCTGGCTCCTGACTTGAAGTGCGGGGTAAACAAGATCATACCCCCACGGCCGTCATAAATCCCCGCACGAAGGTCATAAATCCCCGCACAAAGGTCATAAATCCCCGCACAAAGGTCATAAATCCCCGCACGAAGGTCATTAGCGCTTATTAGTCGGCCAATTAGCCTAGACGACCAAAATTGCTTATTCGCGACTGCCGCCAACTGCACTTCGAGCACATAGGGGAGAAACACTCACTGTAGTCAGTGGACGCAATATATTGCCACTGATGAGAGAGCCTGGCAGAACATGCGGCAGTGTAATGATGCATGCTGGTGGTTTCTGTGCGAAGCGCGATATGCGATGTGCACACTCATTCTTTTCTCATGAAGGACGGGATTGTACCGCACTCTCAGTGCCCTACCCCGTGCTCTGAACATCCGCATTCCATGCCGCATTGATACTGAGATCATCACCCCGGCCGCTGCACAGCACAAAGAACTCCTCCACACCATACTGTAGAGTCCTCCCCTCCCCACAAAGAGCTGCACAGATGCGGAACGAGCAAAGGCGATTCAAATTCGCTTACCGCATCCTTTGGGGTATTTAGAAGTCGCGGGGCCCCGGACTTGTGGCGGGTGTGTCGTTGTAGCCGTACTTGAACCTTACTTTGTGTCCCCCGCATTGTTGACGTTGGATACAACTTCGTACTTCGTCCTGAACATCTCTTCCCCTACGAAGCAACAGCTTCGGCACCCAGCCTCTACCCTATCTGCCCTGAGTGACCGACACCGAAAACCACCGGGATGAGGAACCACATGGCTGCGGGGTGGTTCTAGTACGTTACTCTCAACTATGTCGCATCTACAGTACTGACAGACGCGACAGCTCCCCGAGCCAAATAAGCCGCTACATTATAACGCGCCCGACGAGTCTAAAACCGCCCATGACCAAGCTCAGGAACCCGATCTACATCCTGCGCGAACTCGATTCCCACCAATGGTTGATGTTCATCGTGGGATTCATATCGTGGACCTGGGACGCGTTTGACTTCTTTACCGTCTCGCTGACTATCACCGATATCTCGGAAGCCTTTGGAGTGACTAGGGCGGATGTGTCTTGGGGAATTGTATGTTTCCCACTTGCCACGCATGGAGCCTTCTAACAGTGACTTCAGACCATTACATTGATGCTGCGATCCGTGGGCGCGTTGATATTTGGTGTTATATCCGACCGCTATGGTCGCAAGTGGCCCATGCTGATCAATCTATTCTTGTTCATCGTCCTCGAGCTCGCCACCGGCTTCTGCAATACTCTGCCGCAGTTCCTAGGCGTCCGCGCTCTGTACGGCATTGCCATGGGCGGTAAGACCCCTTAACTCGGCTTGATTAGTATAGATTACTAACATATCCAGGACTTGTCGGCCCCGCAGCTGCAACGGCTCTGGAAGATCTCCCCTATGACGCCCGTGGAGTCGTATCAGGTGTATTCCTATCCGGTTACGCTATCGGCTACCTCCTCGCGGCCGTCTTCACTGTTGCGCTCGTACCGACTACAACGCACGGCTGGCGCAGCCTGTTCTGGTTCGGTGCCGGCCCACCCATCCCCATTATTGCATTGAGATGGTATGCACCCGAGACCAACGCCTTCCAGGTCATGAAGGCAGAGCGCGAGGCTAAGCACAGCACTGGCTCCAATGGCGGCAAGTCGAAGTTCGCTGCTCTCCGGACGTATGGAAAGGAAGCCAAGATTGCGCTCGCGGATAACGTAGCTCTCCTTACCGCGGTTAATTTCTTGTAGAGTGCTAATAATATGTCCTAGTGGTTCCTAATCATCTATATGGTGGTCCTCATGTCGGGCCTCAACGCCACCACTCACGGCAGTCAGGACTTCTTCCCCACCTTCCTAAAGTCGCAGCTCGGCATGAGCCCCAACGACATCACTATAGTCACCGTAGTAGGCCAGCTCGGCGCCGCAGTCGGCGCCTCCGTACTCGGATATGTTAGCACCTTCGCCGGTCGCCGCCTCACCATGATCACCACAGCCGTGATGGGCGGTGCCATTCTCCCCGCCTACGTCCTTCCACACACCAGGAACCATCTTGCCGCTTCCGCATTTTTTGAACAGTTCTTCGTACTAGGCATTTGGGGTAAGTCTCCTTCCTCCGCACACAACACACACAACTCGGACACTAACCGTCGCAACAGGCCCGGTAGCAATCCATCTAATGGAGCTCTCTCCCCCAGCACTGCGCTCTCTCCTTGTCGGACTGACCTACCAGCTTGGCAACCTCGTCTCCTCAGCTAGCGCCACCATCCAGGCCGTTATCGGACAGCGCTATCCCCTTCCGCCCAGCCCGACCGAGGCCTCGCGTTTCGACTACGCAAAGGTGATTGGCATCTTCATGGGCGCGGTGTGGGCGTATGACGTATTTATGTTGTTTATTGGCCCGGAGATGAGCCAGGCGGAGAGGGAAGCGGAGGCGGAAGCGTCTTTGGAGTTTGAGAGGCTTAAACAGGGAGGGATGAGCTTGGCAGAGGTGGGAGCGAGGAGGGGGAATGGAAAGTTGGAGCAAGAGCTGGTAGATAGGGAGATGGCGGATAAGGAGATGGAGGACGAAGAGAGAGTGGAGTCTTCGGCGGCGGAGACGCGGGAGGCTAAGGAAGTGGGGAATGCGACTGTATGATGTGCAGGGGTGCTAGGTGGAAGAAAGATGGTGCAGTAACGAATTATAAGAATATATTATCACTGGTCTAAATATAAATATTTATTTCCTCCGTGTCCGCTCCCTCTAGAACACGCGCGGGTTAGGCATCAACTTGGGGGCGGCTTTGTTCTTACACTTCTGGAAAAGATGGTCAAACGATGGCGACGCCTCAACACGGGGAGTGAACGGCGCAAAGTCCCAAAGATAACCGAGGGTTCGGAGCACCGAGGTAGCGCTGTAGACCTCAGTCTGGCCAGCGCTGTTGACGCCCTTGTGCTCAACGTGTCCCTTCGTCAGGTAAGGGGAAACGATCCAGGTAGGGATGCGGCCACCGTAGCGGTCGAAGTTGAGGGTGTATGTGCTTCCGTCGGGGGTGGCCTCAGTGTAAGTCAGGTTGTCAGGGCGAACTGCCTTAGGTGGGGCGCTGTGGTCGTAGAAACCACCGGCCTCGTCGAAGGTGATGACGAGGAGCATGTTGTCCCATTGTGGGGAGTTGCGGACAGCATCGTAGACCTGCTTGAGCAAAACCTCGCCGGTGGAGATGGGACCGGTAGGGTGCATGGAGTTGGTGTCGAGGCCGCAGCAGGAGGGGTTGATGAAGGTGTATTGCGGGAGCTTTCCGAGGTAGGCGTCCTGGAAGAAGCTCTCGAGGGGCCTGACGTTGGTCTTGTCCTTGCCGTTAGCGATGGTCCACTTGTAGAACTTGGCGTCAGAGTTGAAGGCTCCGTTTGTGCCATCGTAGTTCATCCATGTAATGTTCTGGGAAGAGAGCTGCTCGAAGAGACTCCGCTCGGTGATAGTTGACTGGTCAAAGGTCTTGTCGTTGATGCCGCGGCCGCCGGAGGTACCGGTGTGGATGCACATGCGGTTGGGGTTGGTAGGCTATCTTTCGCATTAGCAAGTCCAAGCTTGTTCATTTAATTATCACATACACCTGGGACGCAAGAGTGCCATTTGTCGAAGGTCACAAACTCCTTGCAGAGCTCAGTGACGACAGGCACCTGATCCGGGGTGTAATACCCCATCACTTCTCTGGCAGCGTAGTCCACATCAGTGAGCTTGGGGTGGGAACGCAAATGCTGCTCCAAGTAGCCCTTGTTGTTAGCAATCAGCTTTCCTGACTCAACGTCCGCGTTATTCGGGTGGAATGTGCCGTATAACTGGAAGTTGTTGCCGTGAACAGAGTGATCCGGGTCATCCTTGATCGAATCGAAATCCTTGGGCCGGGTGCAGAAGGTCTGGGAGTGAGGGTCCGTGGTGTTGACCTTGTTGCAGAAGGGGCCGCTGTTGGCAGGAGTGTCAATGTGCTTGGTGAAGGTCTGGCCACCTACCAAGTTGTCAAAGGAGCGGTTCTCCATGACGATGTGGACAACATTCTTGACCTTCTCCTTCAAGTTCTTGATGGATGCAGGAGATCCAGGTCCATTATGGGAAGGAGCAGCAAGACCCAAGGCCGCGAAGAGGGCAATGCTCAAGACTGAAGATGAACGCATCTTGGAAGAATTATGTAGGATTGGAAGATGAGGCAACAAATGGGCCTACTCTTGCTAGTTAGAGATGGGCGTGGTTGCAAAGCCTCTTATATTCCCTAGTCCTTGGCAAATATTATGCTATATTTTCCTACTTGTATTTCGGAACTTTCCCGTCTTGTTGGGCCCCTTCAAAGTTTGATTGCAGCTTCTACAAAGCAGTCTAGTCCGGCTTCCACGGCTTCCACCCCGCTGTGCCCTGCCTTTCACACCACCACGAGGAAACCACACGTTGTCGATCAATGGAGACACGAGGTTGGATCGAGGACAATCATTTGCCAAACCACGCACCCGCCGTCACCAGAGCAGCTCTGTCTCTCCGAGTTCCGTTGTGGGGTTTTACAACGGACCTGCCTCGACCGGCACCAAATCAACCGGCCATCGCATCTTACATACGACCTGCAGCTTCCATGAATTGGAACGAACGCGGCGCAAGTAAGAAAACTGTCAAGGTGCGGTAGCTTGGCACGAAAACCAGCGATAACCTCAATGATGTATGCTTCTCCGCACGAAATCCCACGTGTGCACCATCCAGGCAGGAACAACCGGGTTGCAGGAACTCCTAGGGGTTAGACCGTGCTGTTTTCGACGCCAACTTTCTGTTTTTCCAAGAGATCGCCGTTTGCAATTGCCGTCTTAGCAATATTACCGATAAGCCTAAGTGCCGCCCTCAGCCGCCCCCGTTGTCACTGTCGCTGTAGACGAGATGCTTGTTCCTGGTGGTCCCTGCACTAAGATCACTAAATACACTAAATACACTAAAACACACTAAAACACACTAAAAGCACTAAAAATGCGGCTTGGTGACGCACGTTCCCCTTGCACCCAGCTTATTGGCAGGTATTGGCAGAGCGGGTGGCGGAAGGAGCGGCAGAACCTAGCACGGAACCAACCTCAAATGTCAGGCGACCAGCATCAATGGAACAATTGTGTTGGAGGTACGAGTACAGTAATTGCGGAATATGGGGAACTACACACAAATTCGTGTGGTAATCTCCGACCACCGTAATCAGTCTCTTCGGGCAACGGAGCAGAAGCTTCACAGTAATATATAGTAAAATAGAATAATATAATCAATTGAATTACTACCTAATCTACGGGCCTACGTATGCTATTTGTAGCACTGGGGAAACCCCCAAAGTCCTGACGAGCTGAGCTTGAGCTAACCGCTAACCGGGAAGCTGGACAATCCCCAAAAGCCCACCGTAATCCACGGGGATGTCCGTTTCCTCCAACAGATTGTTGCTTCCAACCAGCCCTAACAACCCGCTTTCGGTGTATTCTTTGCGTCTAATGCTGGGGCAATGTAACGTGCACCCAACGCCATCGCATCTAGGTGCATATTTCATGTTTTCCAGACTTATTTCCTAGCTGCTAGCTATAGCTCCAATGTGGTTCCTCGTTGACCAATCCCACGTGTTGCATTGATACACATGGGATGTGTTGGTGTCTCAACAGAAAATGATGGACTTAACAAAGCTATTACAATATGTGCAAGGAAGCCTGTGGAACTTTGAAATGCCATGACGCAGATTGGCTGGATGGCGCGGGGTGTTCGGAATTCCAAGCAACGATAGGCTAATCAGTCGTGTGCTGTTCCAATTGATGTTGTCCTACCTCGCCCGGGCTCTTTTTTCTGGCTGGGTCTGGTTATGACCGTCCTTGATTCCAGTGTTTGTAAGGGCAATTTATAACTCTCGTCTTCGCAAACGCTTGCTTCCTCGTCACCAACCTCCATAATGTCCTTCTTCAAGCGCAGCTCGTCCAAAGAACGTTCGGAATCTCGCTGGTTCACCAATTCGGACAGTGCCGCTTTCAAGCCTGTGCCAAACGATGAAATAGCAGAGTTCAAGGCTGAGGAATCACAAGAGAGTGATGATTTAGAGATGCTGTGGCCAACTGCTGCGGCAAGTAAGCCTCTCATGGGGCCCAAATTCAAAGTAGATCCCCGAATCATATCAGATGCCATTATTGGCTTGTCCGATGGCCTCACAGTGCCGTTTGCCCTCACAGCTGGCTTATCGACGCTGGGCACGAGGACGGTGATCTTTGCAGGCCTGGCCGAATTGATCGCGGGTGCCATCTCAATGGGTCTCGGTGGATATCTAGGTGCAGTGAGTGAGGGGTAAGCAATATTGTCTCTTCCCATTTTCCCAGAGGTATTAATCCCCAGTGTAGAGAATCATATCAAGCCACTGTCGAACAGACACAAGCTCGCGTAGCAAAGAACCCAGAAAACGTCGCCGAGACAGTATCCGATATCTTCATCGCCTACGACGTCCCCACACCCCTCATTGACAGTCTCGCCGTTCACCTCGCCCACTCCCCCAAGGTCGTTGATTTCCTGATGGCCTTCGAACACACACAGCCCGAGCCGCCAAGCTCGCGTGCAGTCACCTGCGCCATCACCATCGCCGCGTGCTACTTCGCAGGCGGCTTCCTACCTCTTCTACCGTACATGTTTGTTGGCGAGGATGAGGTCATGAAAGGCCTGTTCTGGTCAATTGGCGTCATGATCGTGGCGCTGTTTTTGTTTGGATATTCTAAAACGTGCTTTGTGAGCGGGTGGCGTGGAAAGCGTAATGTGATGAAGGGCCTATGGGGAGCGGGACAGATGGTGTTGGTGGGTAGCGCAGCAGCGGGAGCAGCGATGGGTCTGGTGAGACTGTTTGATAAGTTGAGCAGCTAGATCATCTTGTGTTTTTCAGGCGCAAATTATGGGAATCGGTGGGGGGTGGGTTGGCAAGCATGGCATGCTTCGGAGTTATCGGATCGATTTAATGGGCGGGATTTTCCAAACTGCTGTAATCAGCCACACATATTTGAACTAGAAGCGCGCGTCGCATTATCTATCGGTATAAAATGATCATGTGTTATTTTGGTGACAATTTAAGCCTTGTGGAGTAATCCACTCCACCGCCAAGCAGGGAGTCAAGTGGCTAACGCATGAACTGGCCGATAGGCAGAGATCATTCGATGCTGTGAAACAAATATATGATCAGTGTCGCAACTGTTATGCCGGGTGAGTTACCCCTTGCCTCGCGATGTCCGGCGACCTCTGACTACGAGGAGTTTTTGTTTGTTTTCATTTATAAGAACTTTTCCACAACTCAAGAATCTAGTAAACACATACACTACGATATGCACTCAACCAAGTGCCACAAGAGTAATTAATGTATACGTGAGTAAGCAGAAATTGCACAAGCGAACGTAAAGACTGTACCTTACAGATAATATAGGTCTGACAGACGTTAGAGGACAAATCCAGAAGTTGAAGCAAGGGGAGCATGAGCCAAGACCCAGATCGAGAACGACATAGCGATGACGATAACCTCGCATCCCATCAACTTGCTTGGGCAATATGATACGGTAAGATCAAACCCTCGCATCTTTAGAACCCAATCCGAAGGAACCAATCCCTCCAGTTGATCTCGATATCCCCACATCTTACCATGCTACTCGAGTATATGTATATGGAATACCAAGGCCCTAAAGAGGGCGCATCAACGGCACGCCCCGCTTAACGTTCTTCCCGCCACTTGCACCCCATCGTGCCCTTGGTCTAACCCGAAATGGATACTCGATCCTTCGGGACTCCGAGGTAATACGTGTTACGATTGCAGCTCACAGCTACAGGCACGCATAAGCACGTGACCACGTGCTCCCGCTGCTTAGACAACAGGCAACTATAGTAGCCACCAAGGTTACAAGGAACCGCTAAGCGCGCAAGCTGTATATTATGAGGATTAGCCTCACCTTCCTACTTTCCTTCTTCTTCTTCTCTCTTTAGATTCAATCTAGCTTACTTTACCCGGACTGGAATCATGACCTCCGTGACCATCGTAATAATACGTATGGTAGGCTGCGCACTGGGTACTCACGAGTCGAGTAGTAGAATTTTTACTCACCCAGCTGAGTTACTCGCTCATGTCCCGAGTATTGTTGAATGAGGATTACTCACTTGGCAACTCAGTTATATCACGTGTTTGATTAGCCATTACTTATGTTAAAAACGGGGTGCGACTTCATTGATCAAGACGCCATAACTCCAACTCCATTCCCATATTGTTGATGTCCTATTCCACACTATAACCTTTGGCCTTTAGGTACCAGGTTACCAGATGGTTACCAGAACTCATCTGACCTTCATTCCTGGGTGAGAGACATTTCCATCGATTAAGCCCACAGCTTAAACATCATATCCTGCAAACGCCGAACCAATATCATACCCTTTGCCTGAATTGTCACTCTCTTCGCATGAATAGCGAGGAGGTTTGTCACTATAACTGTTAGTATGTCCCTGTCACTATGTTTAAACATCATACTCTCAAATTCTCGAATGAGGAAGCATTCAGCAGCTTCCTAAAGAGCTAGGATAGCAGATTGCTGGAAGCGAAGATTGGACTTGAAGTCTTCTGTGATTTCCCTAACAAGACGCTGGAATGGGAGCTAGTATCAAGTTGCTGTCTTCTGATATCGCGGAGAGCCTTGGTGCCTATATGTTTATTAGAGAGTTCTGGTAATCCTCTGGTAATCCTCTGGTAATCCTCTTACTAGACTTTGTGCAGCGCGTGGCCTTCTGAGCATGATTGTTGCTAGCTTGAGATGAGCAAACTGGAGCTTTTCTTGCTGTGCCCACAGCCTTTTCCTGTCCCTTTCCGCCAAGCCCAGAGCCAGCCCGTAATCCAAGTGGCATCCTTGGTGCTATGCCGCCAGTTGATCTCCTAGCAGTTTGCTTGGTACGAGTCATTTGCTAATATCAAGGTGAGTTAGTAAAGTAAACACAAGATAAAGAAGTAGATCAAAAGATATGTGTACTTACAGTGAGTTTGTAGAAAGAATATTGCAGAAGAAGAGTATAGTAAAGAGGTAGAGGTTGAAAGGTATGTGTTTTATATGAAGGTGCGCATTGTGGTGTTGTTTTTGGAACAGTAATTCTTTGTAGGTGAATATTCCTTCACAAATATTTTTGTTTGCAACTTTAAAATAACCACGACCTTAGAACCACCTTCCTTGGTTACTCTCCGATCTACACATTCTTCTTCCCTTTTGAGCCTTTACCTCTTCACTAGGACTTCAACTAAGTTTATTACCTTGATTCTATAGCCAGAACTTCTGGAGATCTCTGCTAATCACGTGTTTAGTTAGTATGGCGAAACTCAAGGCACATGAAGAACTCTCCACTAATGCGAATACTATCAAAGCTCGCAACTGCGTCTCCAACCTTACTGAAGATGAGAAGGCTGTTCACTTAGCACTCAAGGCTGACCATGCTGATCTGAGCTACTACTTAAAGAAGTTATATAAGTCTGCAAAGTGTAAGGATGCCTCCTTACCTAGATACTCGAAGAACCCGCCTCAGAGCTGTTACGGTCACCACAAGCATGAAATCCGACTCGGTGTGGTTTCGGACCAGTAGAGGAGGACATAGCGAGTTACACTATAGTGGGGGACAGTAAGGGTGTAGGGTTCAGGGTCGATGCGGACCTGTTGCGGTGGAAGGTTCAGGGCTAGGGTTGGGATAACCGAGTCGGGCCCGTTTCGGGTACTTAAGGAAACAAACTTAACGGGGTTCCCCCTTCATCTTTTTTGTATCCTTCGTAGTAGACCTATAGGATAGCATCCTTTTAGCCTCCAACTCGCACTCTCATATGCTATTACTGTGAGCTGGGTGCCCTGTGTCATTACACAAAGTATATCGCTGCCTCTACTGAAGACAAGACACGTCTACAGAATGAATTGAAGGTTGAGCGTATTTGTGTTCGGTAAGTTCCTTCTGGTAATCTCTGGTAGCCTCAATCTAACTATAAACAGGACTGAGAAGGGTACCCATGCATCTTGCATTGCGAATCAGAAAGTCAAGAATATTAGCGCCTCTTCTTCTCCACAAGCCCCACCATCTACTCCGCCCAAACAACTTCTGTCTGAGCTTGCTGCATTTGAGGGTATCTCAAGTATTCCAATCGATGACAATCATAACAGCGAATGGGAGGATACTGAGGTTGAAGACGATTTGGAGTTGGAGCTTATGTTACAGCGCGAGATATTTTAAATGACGAGGCTGTTCTACCAGATGAGCTTTCCGATGAAGAGATCACTAGCACCCAGGCTCTCTTAACTCAAGCGCACATTGATGTATGCTACCTCATAATCTGGTAATCTTCTGGTGATACTAATAGTTGATAGGCCCATGAAGAGTCCAATTTCCGCAAGTGGCAACATTTCTGGGATAGCTGTATCCACTCATATACGAGAAAGGCTGGAAAGCTGAGAAAGAAGCCTGAGCGTCTCTTTGAGTATATGCCGTGGATTGATGTAGAGGAAGGGTACGTCTCTGATCATCCTAGCAATCTTCTGGCAATACTAATTGTTTATTATAGCACTTTTCACGAGGTTATCCCACCACATAAATATTTCTGTTTGTACGAGCAGGCAGTTTGGAAAGTGGGCCTAATTACCAGGACCTGTGCAGTGGTACCCAAAGTCTTACAATCTTGTCGACAATGGATGGTTGCAAATATCCACTCATAGTTCTAGCTTCAAAGAGGCGTTCTTACTTGTCTACTCTAAGAAGTTTGATAAGGAAAAGTGGGCTAAGGTATCAGCTGCACAGGATATGTTGTTCCTGGAGCTAGAGTAGAGGAGAACTTGAGTTGCTAAAGTTATAGCGCTGGAGTACCTTTCGCGTTGGAAAACCAGGTATTTAAGTACTTCATCGTAGCCAGACTTCTGGTAACCTTCTGATAATCGAGCAATTTGCCAAATGCCATCTCAATACTCAGAGTTGTTTGATTCTGACAGTATTCTCAGACTCTTTTCCGTCTTCTCAACGACTATCCTCATTAAATCAAGTCTGTAAGGACACAGGGCACCCAGCTCACAGTAATAGCATATGAGAGTGCGAGTCAGAGGCTAAACGGATGCTATCCTATAGGTCTACTACGAAGGATACAAAAAAGATGAAGAGAGGAACCCCCGTTGGGTCAATCTCCTTAAGTACCCGAAACGGGTCCGACTCAGCTAACCTGCCTTAACTCTTATCATGTGACCGTAACCTGCCCGACTCAGATCCTTTCCATCACTGAGGGACAGGCATCCTTACAAAGTCCCTGCAGGCCTTGAATATATTGGCAAGTTAAACCAATTCGTCAAATGGACTAAGGATACACACGATATATTCATTGAGTGGTGGAAGCTATCACGATGGTATGAACAACACTCAGATCATACTACAAAACTCCTTATGAAGATTGCATGGGATTCAACCAACTGGAGTTCTCAATACTGGAGAAGTTATCACCAAGGAGCAGACCGGCTTTCTGGAGAACCATGTGTTATTTGTACTTATTGTTCGAAGGCCCTTACGCATCCTGCAATCAAGTCTGCTGGCCCAAAGTCTATGGCAACACATCTTGCATCAGACATTTGCAAAAAGAAGTCACAGATGGGAAGGATAGTCTCTATCAAATGCGAATCAATCAAATGCAACCTCAACAAGTAAGGATTACCAGATTATTACCAGAATTATGTAGGTTAATACCTATAATAAGATCATATTCTCACACAAGAGACATTTTATGAACAAGTTCTATACACAGTTATCTTGACTCATAGCTCGTTCCGCTCAGTCGAGGATCCTCATCAAGACCCTATGGTACTTAGATAGAGGAATATACATGATTCGTTCTCACAGCTTACTAGAGATGGCGAGAGTGATGCTAATAGATGTAATACTTTAACTTAACCATAAAACAGTATTAATCGTATGAGGGACTGTTCACATGATGCATAAATCTTACACGTGATAGCCGAGTACTCACCGGGTTTTTACAGAGTAACTGAGTATTGACCTCACTCACCGAGTCGAGTAAAAGGTTCAGCTACTCACCCAGCTGAGTAACCCACTGAGCGAGTGAGCCGAGTATTGAGCGAGTAGTGCGCAGCCTAACGTATGGAATGTTGAGACACTGTGCTACCTCCGTATGGAATGTTGAGACACTGTGCTACCTCCGTATGGAATGTTGAGACACTGTGCACCCCCAGCGGGACAATCCTTCGTAAGCTGGCGGGCAGTCGCTCATCTCGAATATCTCCGGCTCGATCTATCCCATTTGCGACCAGCAAGGAATGCAGCAACAACTAAAGCGAGGCAGGCAGCAAACAACACATTCACGGTGCAAACAAGCAAGTTACTCAGCGCCCAGTAAGCTGAGAAAATCAACATGGGCAGTACCAGCAACGCGGAAGAATATGACTTCGTGGTCATCGGGGCGGGTAATACCTCCCCGCTCCTCTCTCGAGACACCAGTTAACACAATCAGGATTATTCGGCCTCGCAATGGCAAAGACCTATCTACAAGTCAATCCTTCTACGCGGTTACTTGTTCTTGACAGCGGCAAGAGCCTTGGCGGCACATGGTGCGCCGAGCGCATATACGATGACCTCTACACCAATAACCTTGTGGGCACACTTGAGTTCGGGGATTTTCCTATGGACTTTGAGACATTTGGTGTGCCGCCCAACGCCCACGTCCCAGGGTTGGTGATGCATAGGTACTTTACAGCGTATGCGCAGCACTTTGGTGTTTATGAGAGAATCAAACTCCGTTCTACGGTGACATCTGCTGAGCTTCTCCAAGGAGGCGAGTGGCATATCAAGTACGATGTTGAGCATAGTGTCGACGGAGAGGGAACAGAGCAACGGGAGCTCATTGCAAAGAGGATGGTTCTGGCAACTGGCCCTACCTCGACGCCAAATATTCCAAATATAAAGGGAAATGATCAGTTTGGGGGCCATGCTTTCCATTTTAAAGATCTAAGTAAGCATGCGAAGGATTTGAGTGAAGCAGACAATGTTGTCGTCTTGGGCGGCTCAAAGTCTGCCGTCGATGCAGTCTACCACAATGCCTCAAAGGGTAGACACGTCGACTGGGTAATTAGAGGTAAGCGTCCACCGTTGAATATTCAAGTCACTATCTGAACCATTAAAGAATCTGGTCGCGGCCCAGCTTGGCTGCTTCATTCTTACGTCTCGCCGTTAAAACTACAATTTGAGAAACTAGCCACAACACGGTTCATGACATTTCTTAGTCCATGCATATATGCCGACGCCTATCCCATGGTCCGCCGACTACTTCACGACACCAGGATTGGAAGAGCACTACTACGTTTCGTCTTCGGAAGGATAGACCACGGTTCCATTAAGGAGACGAAATACAACGACCACCCCGAAACCAAAAAGCTAATCCCCCACGGCAGCGTCGTCTGGATAGGCACCACCGTCGGTATCTTCAACCACCCCACCGACTTTTTCTCCCTCTTCCACAAAGACCTCGTCCACGTCCATATGTCCGACATAACCTCCCTCTCCAAGTCCAGCGTCCACCTCTCCAACAACACCACCCTTCCCGCTGATGCTCTAATCTACGCCACTGGTTGGTCCCATGCCCCCACCATACCAATCCTCCCGGCGTCCCTAGCCCCCAAACTCGCCGTCGGACCTGCCCCTCCCACCGACCCAACCATCGCTGCCGCAGATGCTGAGATCATGCGCCGCTTCCCCGAACTCAAGGACCAGCCACCCAGGGGCACCAGCATAGACCACGAGCGTGCCACTGAGCCTTCCTACCGCGCCTACCGCAACGCCATCCCCCCCGCTTTTCTGTCGTCGCGGAACCTCGCGTATTGCGGACTCGCGGCCATCGGGTTGAGAGGCTTCTGGATTTCAGAGATGCAGGCGTTGTGGATCACGGCGTTTTTCGCAGACAAGTTAAGTGTAGAGTTGCCCAGTGAGGAGGAGGCGGCGAGGCAGGCGCTGCTGGAGAGTCGGTTCTTTAGGTATAGGGCATCAAATGGGTTGGGCGCTAAGTCAGCGGATATGGTGTTTGAGATTGTACCGTTTATCGATACGCTGTGTCGGGATTTGGGGATCGAGACGAAGAGAAAGGGGGGGTGGAAGGAGATCTTTGAGTCGTACGGGGTGCAAGATTATAGTGGGGTAGTGGAGGAGTGGATGAAGAAAGAAAATCTGGGCGGGGTTGGGCAGCTATGAGGGGGGTTATTCTCGTGGAGAGGGTATTTGCAGCTGGAAAGGGAAAAGCTGGTTCTTCATCAAGCTCAGCTTATAGATTTATCGCACTGCATTTTACTCGCAACACAGCGTCGATTTGATAGCTGTAATTAACGATAATGAAAAATTTACTCTCTTTCCTTTATTTTTGAATAGCTAGCCTCATAAAATAACTCTTCTCAATTGTTTATTTATTTATAGTTGCTATAACGTAATCGTCGTGACCAAACTTTTCTCGCTTCGTTAGAAAGAACTAGACTTTAAACTTTGTATAACGACAACTACAATTCTATACATTTTTTAATCAAAAGATGGATATTAGTAAGTTATAAAGAAGACATATACAACTTTAACAAGACAAGATTTATAAGATGGTTGTAACAAATGCCAAATGAAAGAGTAGACCTTGTACGACATAGCAAGGCAATAGGAAATAGTTATAGTGATTTAAGGCATTAGATCATATAGATATATGCTACTGCTATTATTATTGTTATAGGGAAAGACCACCTTTCGTCTTAGTACGAAAACGTGTCTTTGCTAACGTATTTCACATGCGAGCTGGTCACCTAAGCGAGCTGGTCACTTAATTTCACACCTAAAATCAGGAAATTTACAAGATAATAACTCAACAATAACTTGATAATATATTCTAAAACTGTGTGTATAGCTTGGTCTATACATGTAGATATTCTAGCTTTAGAGCAATTAGACCAGTAGATGTGAAGATATAAAGACCTAGTCTAAATCTTAGTGCTTATACTTAATATTTTAAGAACTACAACATAGATTATTCCTAAATAACTAGATAAGGATTTAACTAAGTAGAAAAGGTTAGAAAAGTATTTTTAATATGTATTATCAAGCTGTTGAGTTATTACAATTCATGGGAAATGGTAGGAAACCTTAGCTGCCTAGAGTTGCTAGCAGAGTTGCTAGCAGAGTTGCTAGCAGAGTTCCACCGTCAACACCCTAACGTTCGAAGAACCTAGGAGACATACCTAGGTAAGGGTTGGGTTTAGAGGCGACGCCTCTAGAATTAGTTGTAGAAGAAGTTAGAGGAAGGGAATGGGGTTCAGCCTCGTGCCGCTCACGTTCCTCAGCCTCCTCTAGCTTATCTAGGGGTTTTAGACCATAACAGAGCATCTCTCCCCCTTAGCTTTTTAATAAGCATTGTTGTTTGGAAACACAGAGCTGTCTTGCCATGGCCTCTTGTGCTTAGGAAATGGTGAGCTCCATTTCTCGTAACTCTTTATGCTAGAGATGTTCCTAGTCTCTAAGAGAAGGACAAGTAGCGTCACACTTGATGTTTGATTTAATACATTTAGCGCATTGTCTAGAGTCGCTAGAGATGACACATTTCATGTCATGACGTTCACATTGAGTACACAGGGACATTTCGACCCCATTAGTAGCGACACAGAGAGCAAGGAGATGACGTTCTTTGAGTTTCATATGTTTAGAAGAAGACATGGTCGCAGCCTAACCTGCCTATGGAACGAGTGGGCATTGCTCTACTTAAAAGTACTTAGCATTTTTCTTAGTCAGCCATAGGCCTTAGGACTAGGCCTTAGAGGAGGGACCTAGTTCTACGAGCCGAGTGAGTCACGTAATCCTTAGAATGGAACTGTGAGAACTGTTAGAACTCATACAATTCCTACATTTCCTTAGGGTGGAACTATAGGAACTGTTAGAACTCATATAGTTTCTATAGTTCCTTATAGTTCCCTTTGGTACGACACAATCTATTATATAGTATATATGAAGCTTTCCTAGTAATATAATACACTTAGGAAGTGCATATCCTTTAGCATTTATAGCTTCGATGACAGTACCAGAGAGTCAATTATCAGGATTATCTACAATCCACTTTGTACGTTAGTATTGAACTCTTTAGAATAGAGTTAACTTACCTGCTTTACTCCAACTAGTACAATTACATCTGTAGACCAATAGCATCTGATCATGTAACCTGTCTCATCAAAGTTCTAGAGATTACATGGCTTGATATTATATTTTGTGAGAATCGCATTATACTTCATAAAGAAGTCCCTGAAATTTGACCGATTCTGTGCTTGCTTTCACTAAGTATTTAATACCTTCATATAAATAGAGTGGAATTCAGGGTGGGCTTTAAGGAACTGTTAAAGCTAGCGTCAAGAGAGCACTCTTTGCCTAGTCACAAGTCTGCGACAGCTTGTAGTAGCGTACTCCGATTTGCAGGAATACTACGCTTGAGTTGGTCATGTATAAATTGGCAAATTGCAGTATCTTGTGTGGATTTAATACTCAGTTTTGTCCTCCATATGGCTTGCGCATTGTAGATGTCAGCTTTGATATGTGTCATCATAGAGTTTCGTACTTAACGTCAAATTTTGTAGCGACCTAGGAGATTGTATGGGCTTGTGGAGGCTTTAAAAAGAACTGCACAGCTTCTGCAATGTGAGATTTATATTCAGAACCATGGGTTGGAGGCATATTGGTAGTATTGAAGTGGTTTTCATGAGGCGAAGTGGCATACTCAAACTTGCTTTCGCATACCCAACTTGCTTCCGCCACCTACTCACTTTGCTTGCAGGTGGACAAACCACCAAGTAGTTGAAGAAACATCAATTACAAGAAGGAGGAGTACTTACTATCGAAGCTGTCTAAGACTCAGAGGCTTAAAGAGAGGCTAATATACAATTACAAGCCGATTTAAAAGAAAGTAGGGGTTGTACAAAGCAAACTAAGCTGCAAAAATGTTGTTATAGATGTTGTGGACAAACTAGTCATATGTACGAACTTGTCTAAATATTGTAGATACATCTGATGATTTAAATGCCGAAGAGTTAGAATAGTTTAATTAATTAATTGTTGAGATATTTTATGATTTTGTACGATGCTAAGGAATAATTAGCAGTGAGCTTGTGTAGGCGACTCGCTTGTGTGTCATACTGACATTCGTTGCACTCAGTTTGCTATCAAACTCAAGAGCAAACTTAGAAATCTCCTCCTCAAACCTACAAGTCACTATACATATTTTGGTTATTACACCAACAACAAGAGCAATACTACTCAACGATTGCTACAACCCTCTATGATTCATTGCACGTCATTGCTCCTTAGTTACTGGGCCGATATTACTACATAGCATATCTCTACAACCCTCTATGATTCATTACACATCATCACTCCTTAGTTACTGGGCTAATACTACCACATGACATATCTCTACCAACTAGAGGCCTAGGAACATGAACGATAGCTCCAAAAGCTTCTACAACCCTCTATGATTCATTACACGTCATCGCTCCTTAGTTAACCACAAGATTGGTTAAGTTATGACATAATTTGTCTATAGGGGTACTCTGACCTTGGACCTCCTTTCACTTCCTATAGGCTAGGAACCTAAGAGATGGTTCTATGGGATTCTCTTATGTTGACTACAGTTACCAATCCTGGTTAGTACACACTGTCTTAGGACACAGAGCCAAAGGGTTGTAGCTTAGACTATTCCACAATGCAGCAAACAGGTGTATGATGTAGTGGAGTGGTTTAGACAAGTTGTAACAAATGTTGAGTCTGAGAACTCAGGGATAAGTCAGAGGTTAGCACCTCACTGACTTTTCAGAAACAAGGAGTAACAAGATCAATGCTTGGAAGCTTGGAAATGACGTGGAAGTATGTGATAGTTGATTTACTGTATTGTCTGCTTGCCCTTTCTTAAGGAAAGGTCAATCCTATTTATGCTAAAGGGTGTAGTTCTCTCATTTTCCAAGACTTTCCATGAACCCCTTCCTTGGGTGGCTAGATTCTCACATCTGGTGCACCCACCATTACAGCTAGGCTCTAGTAACACGACCTGTGAGTCACAAGGCTAGCACTTACAGCCACAACCCCACGTGATGGATAGCAGAGGATATCATGGATATTTGTTATCCAAAATATCCTCAATATCCTACACCTATGACTCACAAGGCTAGCGCTTAAAACCACAACCCCACCTGATGGATAGCAGAGGATATCATGGATATTTGTTATCCAAAATATCCTTGATATTCCTTTGGTACGATGCCACTATATAAGTAGATAGTATTTCCTTAGATAGGAGCTTCATGCTCAACTCAATATAGTATTCTTTACAATACTGTAACGTGTTACTTGGAAAGCCTTGTGTTTAATCCCCTGCCTCCTCTGCCAAGTCAACCTTATGCAAGAAACCTCTGTGTCTTCTATCGGTTAGAAGTCAGCGTTACAGATAGTTGTAGAAACTAGTGGATATTAGATAGTTGAGCTATCCATCAACTATCTAGATTATCTAGCTATCCATTAACTATCTGGATTATCCATAAGGCACGACACCACTATATAAGCAGATAGTATTCCCTTAGATAGTAGCTTCGTGCTCAACTTAATATAGTATTCTTTACAATACTGTAACGTGTGAACGTAGTTCACAAGCAACCTGTCATATTTTTCTTGGCATTATAAAATATCTCAACAATTAATTAATTAAATTATTCTACCTCTTCGGCATTTGAATCATCAGATGTATCTACATTATTTGGACAAATTTGTACGTTGTGACCAATTTGTCTGCAACATCTACAAGAACGTTTTTGCAGCTTAGTTTGCTTCGTACGACCACTACTTTCTCACAAATCAGCTTGTAATTGTATGTTAGCCTCTCTTTGAGTGTAACGCTGACTTCTAAATGATAGAAGACACAGAGGTTCTCTTGCGTAAAGGTTTACTTATCAGAGGAGGCAGGGGATCAGACACAAAGGCTTCAAGTAACACGTTACTAGTATATAACAAATACTGTATTGAGTTGAGCACGAAGCTCCTATCTAAGGAAATACTATCTACTTATATAGTGGCATCGTGCCTCATGGGTAATCTGAATAGTTGGCGGATAGCTAGATATTCAGGATAGTTTGTGGATAGCTCAACTATCCAATATCCACTAGTTTCTGCAACTATCCATTAGCCCCGTCACATGGCAGCCTACCCCGCTTCCCACTGTGACTCACACATCACGCTATGTGACTCACACGTCACGTTACTAGGCCCTGGCCCTGTAACCATGACATCATGTTACTAT